CACACATACCAAACAAACAAAATCCAAGGCAGGGCAACGCAGCACTGCAAAGCACAGGAACACGGGACACAACCGAGCGAAACCCAAAACAACAGCATGGCGGACGACGATCTCGACGAATTTTTCGACGAGATCGAGGAGGCCGAAGCGGAGGTTGCCGCCAACACCGGGCAAGGCACAGAAACAGCAACGGAAACAGCAACGGAAACAGAACCAACGACTGCCACAGAAACAGAAACAGCAACAGCACCAGCAACATCCACGGAACCAGCGACAACGACCACCGCCCCCGCCGATTGCCCCGCCCCACCGCCCTGCAAGCGCATCAAGGTCGCGGTGGCATCGGCCCCGGCGAGGAGGGCCGTCGTTGCGGCCTCGGCGGCGGCCTCTGGTTCCACCCCCGGCCTTCAGCGCCCGCCTCTGTCTCTGTCTCTGCTTTCGGAAGGACGGGCACCGACACAAGCAACCCTTGTGGCACCACCGCCCCCGAGCGGCCAAGGGAACCACTACTTCGGACCCGCACCGGTCCGCGATATGCCCCCGCTCCCCCCCGGTCCGATGCCTCCTCCCCTGAACATGGATCGTCCCACGGCCGGAAGCAGCGCCGATCCCCAAGAGCGGAGCCACCCAAGCGCCGTTGCTTCAAGGGCAGCGGCCAGCGCCAAGACCCGAAGCAAGCCCGTGGTGCGGTCGGCGGCCGGAAAGTCCTGGGTCGATCCCACCCTGGCGGACTGGCCGGAGGGCGACTTTCGGATCTTTGTCGGAAACCTCGGGGGGGACGTCTCGGACCAGGTCTTTGACCACTACTTCCGGTCCCGCTACCCGAGCGTGGCCCTCACCAAGATCGTCCGGGAAGCCTCGTCGTCGAGGCAGGGGGGGAACGCCAATGCCAAYGCCAACGCGAACGCCGGCGCCTCCAAGGGCTACGGCTTTGTCAGCTTTCTGGAGCCCATGGACTGCGCGAGGGCCATCCGGGAGCAGGACCAGCAGTGGCTGGGAAGCCGGCCCATACGGGTCAAACGGAGCGACTGGAAGGACCGCAACAAGACCACGGTGGAAAAGAAGCAGCGGAGGGAGGACAAGCGCCGGAGGAGGCGGAACGGTGGGGGGAGGTGAGGCAAGGCAGCACCGATGGATTTGCGGGGTGCGTGCGTGCCAACGCCAAACGAAACCACGCCAGGGAACGGAACGGAATGCGAGGCAAGGCAAGGCAACGGAATGCAACACAACGCAACACGATAGAGCGCGACGCAAGCAGAGCAGTACGTGCCATGTACAGCTTATGCATATTGTGGAGACAGGGGCAGGTGCAAAAGACTACTAACATCGCTAGAAAATTTGAACCAATAGAGACGATTCGCTTCCCTGCAGGGTTCGGATGCCCGGTGCCTTTCAAAGCAACCCAACCCAATCCAAACCCAATCGAAACCCAAACCCTCCCCGCACCATCTGCTACSAGAACGTACTAGCCCGTGGTGCCGGAACGATTCGTCTTTTGCGTAGCGCGTGCAGCAGCGTTTTCTGTAGTTCCTCGTGTTCCTTACGTACGCACGGTACCGTCTGCATCGTTGTTTTTGTTTGTGGGTTGGTGGTTGGTCGGTTGGTTTCCCTTTTGCCCCGTTCGTGTGTGGATCACAAGGAAAAATTCCCCATGTCGTCCCGCGACCAGTTTGCTTTCCGAACGACCGCTCTCTCGGTGTTCCCGGCCACCGCCGAGGTGTCTCCAAGGGGTGGTGGTGGGGCAGCCGTTTCCGCGTCCGGAACGGAGGGTTCCGGATGCGGGGTAGAAAGGTCCTCGGCCTCGTTTGCGTCCTCGCTAATCGCAGCAACCGGAGCCTCGGTTTCCGGTTCGGCTTCGGCAGCAATTTCGGTCTCGACCTCGGCTTCCACTTCGGCTTCGGCAGCAATTTCATCCTCAATCTCTGCTTCTACTTCGGCATCGGCAGCAATTTCAACCTCTGCTTCCACTTCGGCTTCGGCAGCAATTTCATCCTCAATCTCTGNTTCATCCTCAATCTCTGCTTCTACTTCGGCATCGGCAGCAATTTCAACCTCTGCTTCCACTTCGGCTTCGGCAGCAATTTCATCCTCAATCTCTGTTTCTACTTCAGCCTTCCCCACCTCTGCTTCTACATCGGCATCAGCAGCAACTGCAYCCTCAATCTCTGCGTCTACTTCGGCTTCGGCAGCAACCTCATCCTCAATCTCTGCTTCCACTTCGGTTTCGGCCTCCACCTCGGCCTCGATGGTTGGTGTCTCTTGGACCAGAAGGATGGGTTCCGGAGCCACTGCGGTAGCAACGTTGTCCTCAAAGACGACAAAGCGGTCGTCCACGGAAACGTCTTCCCCGCCCGCACCGTCCTCGCTCTCGTCCTCGCCGAGCGGCAGCTCGTCCTTGAGGCCCACCAGGAGCTCGGGGAGGGCCTCCGAACCATCACCTGCGCTCTGGAGCGGCGCGAAAATCGCCGCAAGGGTCACGGGATTCCCRTTGTTGGCCAGGTCGGGGACCTTGGCGTCCGCACCCACCGCGTAAAAATCCTCCGATGCGGTGGATTCCGTGTAGGTCACGAGGCACCGCATCGATGCGGCCTTGGCGGCCCGGAGGCCGACCATCGAGTCTTCCACCACGACGCAGTTGCTCGGGGAAGCCACGCCGAGTTTCTCCCGGGCGACGTTGTAGATCATCGGGGAGGGCTTCTTCTCCGAGACGTCGTCGCCCAGGATGCAAACGTCCAGGCCTTCGACCCGTTCCGGACCCAGGGTGCACTCCAGCACCTTCTGTGCGGCTTCCTTCGTGGAGGCAGAGCAAACGCCGACCCCGATGGTCGGATCGGCCAGGGCCGCGTCCATCAGGTCCAGGAGGCCCGGCCGTGCCGTTGCGCTTTCCGCGACGGTTTGCTTGTAGAGCTCMGTCTTGCGGTCCTGGAGGGCGTCGATGAGGAGTTCGAGGGTGGTGGACACCCCTGCCGCATCGATGGTGGTGTGGTCTGCTTCGGTGGCATCGGCTTCGAGCGGAGACGGCTTGGAGGCCCCTCTCTCTCGCTCGCTGCGGGTCTTCCGGCCCTTTTTCTTTTTGGATTCGCCTTCGCGGGAGTCACTGGGGGTGGCAGGTCTGGCTTTGGGTTCTTCTTCGAGGAAGGGCTTTGCCACCTCCAACACCGTGGGATCGCCGTGTTCGTTCGACTCGAACCGCAGCGCCTGCGAAAAGTATTGGCGCATTTTTGGTTTGCCCCCGCCGATCGAGTTCTGTAGGATGTCGTAGTATCCTACCGACCACTCCACGGGTTCCCGGACCGACCCGCAGACCTTTGTGACGCCAAACTCCGAAAACACCTTGTTGTAGGCCCTTCGGTGCAGTTCTTCCGTCTCCAGGATCACGCCGTCGCAATCGAACAAGAGGGCATAGTCAAAGGATTTCGACCCGGCGCTCGGTGGCTGGGATTCTGCGACTTCTTCCGGAGCAGTCATKCGCAACAACGAAGTCCAACCGGCGGCGCTCTTCTGCGGATGCCCGGCAGCTCTGTCCATAGGCGAAAKCCCACGCGTGGAGCACTGGGTTGCAGGGGCAAAGGATTCTGCCCCCGACCAAAGCGAGCAGACGAGAACTGCCCAACGAAACCGAAACAACACCATGGTGAACGCCAGATCTTCTGCTTTGCGGTTGGTTTAAGCTACGGGATGCGTCGATTGCGTGTGTGTGTGTATGTGTATGCGTATGCGTACTGATATGTATGCGTACGAACTACTGTATGTGAGCGTCTTTCCGGAGTTGCAAATCACCTTCGCATTGGAATGAACAAACCAGGAAAGGTAGGATCTGTTCACATTTTTTGTTTTTCAGCTTCCATRCCGTACGGTACGAACTCGAATTCTCAAAAACCATCCACTTTTTCCYAGTCGTTGTCGTCGTCGTCGTCATCCGTCATCATTCGTMCTCGTTCCTCCGTCATTGACTAGTTTGACTTACTACACTCGAGKTGAAAGGTGCGTACGTCATCGGCAATTWAAAWTTTAATTTRAAATGGGACCATACTTTGGTCACGTACCAATAATACCGTACTCCTCCTCGTACTTGTTGGTACGTATTGGTATTGATGCTCTCCAKTGGTTGTTTGCAATTAGTAGTCAATAAAGGGAAGCAGTACTGAGCAATCAAATTGGTAGTAGTATSYCTTTAGATTTTTTCATAAACTCTGATATAATAGTAGTATGAGAAGGAAGTTCAGTGCACATTGCTGGTGGTGGATAGGAACAACAAGAAGCAGACGACGACGAAGCAAGAGGGGGAGGAACAACAACAAGAAGAAGGAAGAACAAGAATGACACCAACAACAACAACTACAAGAAAGCTTCAGGGTCAKGGAGCAAACAGAGAACCTTTAGTTGGACAAGTTTKGGGTGGAGAGACAATGTTTCTGACACTATTTATTATCCATGATTGGTGTAAGGCCTGCTGTTTGGAGAACAGTGTGGTCATGATAGTACTACGTACTAGTAGCTTATTTCTTGTTGCTTTGTTGCTCCAAGAACAGAGCACAACCAATAGCTCCTGCTGAAACCATTTTAGTAGTACTATGGAATAGGAATTTGAATTTGGATCCCAGTGTTGGGAAATGTGGTCCATAAAAAGATCATGKTGCCCAACTGATGTTGGTCTGATAGTACTAGTAGTAGTAGTGCTGTGCTTCGCCCTTCTAGTACTAGAGTAATACAGCACACACAAAACCATTATGCATTACAGCAGCAGCTGGCTGGGAAAAGTTCTCCTTGGAYGGGGGTGTCACCCCTCAGAAAAGCTAGGAGTATTCTTCACCCAAGGAGTTCTAATTCTGACCACCAACATAGTGCCTATTCTAGTTCACCAGGAGGTGAATCATAGTAACTTGAAGATGATATTTTTAACTTGTACTTTGCAAAGTTGAGTTTTCACAATGATAGCTATGACTGTTGCTGTTTTTGTTTTGATACTAAAGAATATGTTCATTCATCTGATTTGCTTCCATGAACAAAAAATAGCATTTCACCTGTTTTTTGTCATGGACTGGTGGTGTTGGTGGTACTGGCTGGAAAATHAAAAGTACTAATTCATTCAACTCAACTCAGTGGTGGAAGGAGGACAAGACTCTCAAAAAATTGATTCTTTCTTTGGAGAGGAAAAACCAATGTATTTCTAGACCTCAAAACAACAACATGATGTAATCTGGGGGAGCYTTCTTTATAATTCAAGAACAAACAATGGCTTGAAAGAAGAAAAAGTTCAAATAATCAATTCAAGARTTGTAAAAACCTTTGGAAACCCCCCCCCCCAAAGATATTGCTTATACAACAGTATACTAAAGTACACAAGTATATTATAAATGTCATGTATTGGGCATTCAAATCTGTCAAAGTGAAAATTGAGAAAGTATCAGCATTGATGGATATTTTGTTTGGTGGGTAGAGGTGCATTGCAGCAACAGCTAAATTTTGATGTCCAAAAGAATATGAATAAAAAATTACCCATCAAACTCAAACAAGTCAGCACAAAGGAACACATGACATTATGCCAAATTAATCTTGCCAATACAAGAACTGTTCACAAATTGTAGTAGGAAGAACTTTGGAAAATTTGTTGGTTTCARCTTTGTCTTACACAAGCAATTGGATTTGTTATATTGTTGATCTTTCAACAAGAGTTCTTGCTCAGAACTTCTTCTAGTACTAGTAGTACYAGTGGTCTATTATTAAGAACATCTCTTCTCCTTAGTACAAAAAACACCACCACCACCACAACCAACAACAACAACAACAATACCCGACATACACAACAAATTCATGAATTTTGTTTCTATTTCAGAAACAACAAACATCCACAGTGCTTTCATTGATTAGCTTGTACTAGTAGTAGTACATTCTTTTCAGAGCAGTTCTTTCCACCTTCCTGGCACTAACTTATTTTATGTGCTGTAGAAACTATTTGCATTTGYAAGCCAATAGTACTACTAAATTATCAAGGATACTGGCTTCTGTGCAAAAGTGTACATGATTGTTGAGTGCACTGTAGCRAACTAGACTAGTTGTAACACTTATACTTCCAGGATTCAGGGGGTTATGATCTAGGAAGAGTYAGGGAYAACTCCCAGATTCCATGCATCCATGGTGAACATGTCAAATTTTGAATCAATTCTTTACTACGTTTCTACTAGTTGAACCCTTTAACTTGCCAGTAGTAATTTCTATAAAATAGCAGCAATTAAATCATTCTTGTTCATTTTGCATGAGAATTTCTCTGTATATACCGTACCAGTTGGTATCATACTTCTACTAAACCTCTTCCAGTCGAATCAAATCAGCTACGTTAATCTCAAATTATTGGTTCTTCGGATCTGTCAAACGAAGATTGTCATTTCTTCCAAGTCATCGAGCGAAATATCCAACACACCGAGTAGGAATTCCGGATTTTCCTCGAAATATCCGTTCAGGCTGTCGAGGGCTTCATCCATCTGCTTCCGAACCTGGTCGCATAAATTTGCTGAGATAATCTCAGCAAATCTATCGCCAAACCCGTCCACAATCTTGTTCAGCAACCAATCCGCTCCAGTGTCTTGGACTTCTAGTTTGACTTCTTCTAAGGAAACATCCAAATCACTCAATTGCAATACTGGAACGGGAATGTCAAACCTTCCCGCTGGCTTTGGAATATATCCCTTGACACATTTCACCCGTATTCGGACCAAAACATTCCGTACTAGAATGCTGCTGGTGCCTTCAAACACCGGATCAAAAATTGTTCTCTTGCTTTCGTGCTTTTCGATGCGAAACAGGAAATTTTCGAGGTTGAATGTTAATTTTTTGATTTCCAAGAAGAGCACAGTCGGGTCAACACGAGGATTGAATCGATGCCGGACAGGGTCGTATGTATCGTCAGCCGACGACGATGTATTCATTGTAGGCCAAGAATCTAATTCTGCCAATGCGGGGCATTCTTTTGTCTTCTCGTCCTGGATACTGTCGTCGGTTCCGCCATCTTCTTTGAGTTGAATTTGATACGATACGTCGCGGATAGCAACCTCAAGCAATTCATCGTCGTCTATCTCCAGAGCCCTCCATAGATCAATTGCGCAATTGAGTACCGAAGACACCGGAAGATTTCCTAGCGCAGCTGCAGCATATTTGTCGGACGGAGGTCTGTGCACACCACCCTTGCCTGATTGCCAGCAACCATCACGCTGTGCATTCAGAATAATTTGCTTGATCACTGATAGAATAGATGTTTCTTCTATCACCTTCACCGATGTCTCTGGCATGGATCTAATCATCGGAAGTATACTGCTTGTTCCACTCGGGGTTGTACCCAGCTCGTTCAGCGTATCGGCCGCTGGAAACAATAGAGAGTCGCCTCCCAAGACCTGGCACGTGAGGTTTTCTCTCTGTGATTGTTGCGGATGGCAATGTTTGGTGAGAAACACTCACAAGAGATACAAATCCATCGTAGTATATTGGGTGTCAACTGGTTGAACCAATTCGGCCATTCCAAAATGTGGTTCCAACGAAGATACGCACCTTTAAATTCAGTTCGGTCAGCGTCAAGTCCCCTCCGCCAGCTCCTCGACAAGTAAGAACCCAACCTTCACCAAGATCACGCTTTTCGACRGGTATCGACATTTTTGGAAGATAATCCTAGCGAGATAAATGATCAAAGTGATTAGCAACAGAACAATTAGAACGGCAATAACCAATACAAACGAGGAATGCTCACCAAAAAGCGTTCAACCGCAACCGTAGCCTTTTCTTTGATGAAGTCTCGTAGCATTCCTTCGTCTTCCAAAGCAATGGACGCTTCCTTAACAAACTCATCAACATTGATGTCATCGACAAGATTTAGGAAGTCGTCCTCGATACTGTACAGTGTGAATGCGAGAGGGGGAAAATTGAAAAGTCAGAGACGTATAAATCCTGCAAGTCACAATCGAGAAAGGACATGGTCGGACATTTGSCTCGGCTTACCTTGGATAGTACGGCAGAACGACCATAGTATCCTTAATATCACGAGAGAAAGACTCCAAGGCAAGAATGAGTTTCATATCTAGGTCGTGAATGATGTTTGCGGCTTCTCCTTCCATCATGAAATCAAGCCAATCCTTTGTAAGGTCTCCTTCGTCCATTTTGTGAAACTGAACCACACAAAGAGAAAACAAACTAGAAATCGGGGAGAGATATTCTTGTGCGTTTGCGGGCAATTTTGACACTGCCCACGAGAATTCYTCGTCCGCGGCATCTAGCAACGGAATCCACAACTTCCCAGCAATGGTGAAATCTTTTAGCATGCGAAAGCGCCGCAGCGTCTGAAAGTTCGAACAATGGATGCTTAGCATTCTAGATGCAAGCTCGTCCTTTGAAAAAGCTCGAACAAATATTCTTTCTAGAATTTCTAGAACTCGATCCTGAAGGAACAACTCAAGTATGGCCTTTCTGGGCGCGGCGAATAATTGAATGGCCAACAGGAATTGCGCGAGTTTCTGGTTGTTGCGAGCGGCAGCACCGTTGCTTCGAGATGTGGCGGATGAGAAATGATTGTATAGGAACTGAGCCGTTTTGCGATAATGTTCACGGCTTTGTTTGTCGATAATGTTGGCATTGACCATTGCAATCTCGATTTGCTCAGCGCAGCAGGTCCAATCACCTTGCTCCAAAGCCAAGAAGAGGCTCTCGTCCTGGAGGATGTAATCGACAAATCGCAAAAGCCGAACTTTGGCTCGTCTACCGTGTTTTTCCATTCTCTCTACAAACAAAGAAAATGGTTCGGTGGTTTGGCCGGCAGTCCACAAACAAGAAACTGTTAAAACAAAAGAGACGAAACAAATCAAACAAGACACCACGCAAACAAATTTCCGATGATCGTACCCGCGATACCTTCTCCAATTCGTCTCAAACGCTGCTGCACCGGACCGAACACGGAAACGATTTCGCTCCATGCCGACCTCCATATCTCGAGTGAATCGTGATCCATGTTTTTCTGTTGGACCTTGATGACCGTCTTGACAAACAAGAGAAACTCGTGGCAAACGGACAGCGCAATCTTAAAGTCCGGTTCGTCGGCACTTGCCGCTCTAGCAATTGTAACGGTTCTGGTGAGTGTCCGTAAGGCGGCAAATGCACGCGTGTAGTTCTTTGCGCTGAGGTGTTGCCTGCGGGGTGTGCACTGAATCTCGATTCCTTCCACCGGTACATCTCCTCGCGTACCSAGGTCAACATCTGTCTTCCCTGAACTATTCCTCGTGCTTTGAAATATGCCAAACATATTGTTCATCAACCAGAATCCGGAATCGGACCTGTCGGCTTTGTCTCCAGCGGCGATAGCAGACGATGTACTCTTGCTCAGTTGTGATTTGCTGCTGTCCGTAGCGTGAATTATAAAACTATCACTGAGAGATTGTTGCGCATCCTTCCCACCGTTTTCTGATCCGTCTGCTCCTMCATTCGGGTCATCAAGCTTGTTCAAAAAGTTCACACAGGATTGAATGAATTCGTTCATTCCATCGTCGAATTCATCGTCTTCTTCGATCGCCCGTAGAAAACTCTTCCACAAAACATTGAAATGCTTCGAAAACTCGCCCCAGAGCCTGTTGTTGGTTTCTTCTGCATCCATTGTTTTCTCGTCCTGCAATTTCTTGTACCGGTCTATTTGGAGCTGGTACTGGGCAGCCGCGCGAATGTGTTCGACAATGGGAATGAACTTGGCGCTCGGACAGGAGAGCAAGTCGGTCCGGTTGAGTTCGAGAACCTGCTTGTGGTGGCGGCCCTCCTCCGAAATGTTCACAAAATAGCGACCGGACCGAAAGTCCGGTCCACCATTGACGTAGCCCACAACCGTTCCGTGCCCGACAGCGGTGTTCACCTCGAATCCAACCGCGGCCTCAACAGTAGCGTGGATCGAGTCCCTTTGGAGATAGGCACAAGCGCTTCCCGAACCTCGGTGCTGCCACAACGAACGCACTATGTGGCAGTCGTCTTCGACTCTCCAGCCGACCAACACCCCCAATCCAAAGCTGGTAGCCACACAGGACCCCATGGGTAGCTTCGAGTGCTTGGGCATGTACCGAGCACCCCAATCGTCCATGATCCGCATCGTCATYGTRGCGAAATGGCCGTTCCTCAAAAAGCACTTGTCGAGATGGACCGTGATMGAGAGGCAATTGCTCTTGCGATTGCCGCTTTTCGGCATCTGGTTCTTTTCGTAGACGCATATCCGCTTGCTGCTCACCACGGTCGCCATGTGGAAGCGTTCCTTGACTCGCTTGCGCGAGGACCGCCTCTCTTTTGGGTCATTGGGTCGAATGGGAATCAATGGCACAGCGATCTTGACCCCCGGAAGCAGCAAGGGCCGCGTAGGTTTCGATGCGAGCGGCGAGAGGTGTTCGATGAGGATTTCCCTGCTGTCGTTTGGATCGCTCTTGTCCTCCGGGGATGGTTTACGCCGCCTCGGGAATATCGTTTTGCTCACCGCCGAAGAGGTTTTCGAGATCTTGGAAACAATCTTCGAGGATAGTTTCCCGGAGGATTGCTTTCCCTTGCTTGCTCCCGATTCGTGCRTCGGTCCGATCGTCGGCAACTCGAGGTTCTGCTCGAATTTCCCGGAGGTGCTGCGTTCCTTGCRGTGSCTGCGACCGTCCACCCACTCGGCGTCCTTGGTCACGCAAGGGGGCGACAGCGGGGACAACTCGGAAAGATCGTCGTCCAGGCGCAACACCTGCCGCCCGAGGTGGTGCGCGGACGAGAGGGCATCCTCCCCCGCCCCGGGTGGTCCGATGCGGTTTGCGCAAAAGGCTGCTGCCGAAGGGGTCTGCGCTGGCACGGTGCCACCGCCCTCGCTCCCGGAGCCGGTGGTCGTTTTTTGGTGTGTGTCCKCCGGCGGCGGCTCCCTCGTCGTGCCAATCGTCTCGACGGTCGCAAAGGAATGCGTGGGAGACACGGTWGCCGCGGCTGCCGCCGAGGTCCACATCGGGTGGACCGGCAGCGCTTCCGCGTACGGATCGAGCTGGTAGCAATGGTGGCGCGGAGCCGCTGCTTCCGACGCCTGGGTGGAAGATTCGGCGGCTCCTCCTCGTTTGTGGACCGCAGAGTCCCTTCCGGCCGCAACAAAGGTGTTCTTCTCTCTTTCTCTCGGCACCRGCGAYGCCTCTGACAGCCCACCGTGGAGGCTTCCATCGGTGCGTGCTTGAGGGAACGAATCCTCGCCCACGCTGGTGTTGGGTGCAAGCGCAGAAGGTTGGGGTTTGTGGCTGCCGTTGCCAAAGTGGCTGTCGACCTTTTCCTTGAGGGTGCTGATTTTCTCGACCGTGTCGTGGGATGCCAGTGCGTTTTGCACCGCCGAGCTCGAGAGGAGTTTCATTCCGATCTCGTGTCCGACGTCCATCCAGTTCATGTCGGTGGTGGTTCCGTCGTCCGACAGGGATCCTTCGTCGTCTTCGCCGTTGTGGGTCGGGGAATTGGCGTTGGCGTTKGCGTTGGCCTTGTCCTCGTCGCCGGCACCACGCGACTCGGAACACCGCAGCCCCTGCCTCCGGGGGAGAGATGCGGTGGTCCCACCGCATCCACCGAGAGAACCGCTGCGGTGGTGCTCCTCGCTTTCGTCCAGGGAATCCTCGCCCTCCAGAAATTCCTGCAGCCCCAGCGAGATTCCGGTAACCTTGTCCGTGTCGTCCCGTGGGTTTTCGTTTTCGTCGACGTCGCCGCCGTCCGCGGCAGGATGGTCCCGGACAAACTCCTGCCGAAAGTCCTCGAGGGATACCACGGACGAGGCTCGCTCCAGCACGGCTTTTTGCCTGGGATCTCCGCGGTCTCGGCTCTGCTGCCGGAAAGAGTCCTTCCTCCGTTGGAGCCTCGCGTATTGTTGYTCGATGAACTCTTCCCGAAGCGCGAGGAAGCAGTAATCGATCGCCCGGACGTGCTTTGCGGTTTCCTTGCCCCACAAGGGTGGCAGCGCCGATGCATCGGCTCTTGTGCAWGATCCRCCGSTGGTGCCTCGTTCGCCGCTGGWTGCGCTCGCGGAGGGATCCCTTGGTGCCCGCGGGTTCGCGTTCGCGTTTGCGTTCCCCGGCACCAGGTCCGGGGATCGAACCAGGACCGACGGCGGGGGCAGGGTCCACAAGTACGAGGTCCGTTCGCTCGATTGTGGCGTGCCGYTGYGGCACCCGCTCTGGCTCCGGCCGAACCAGGCAGACACCCCCCCSTCGCCACCGAACACGAATCCGTGGGAGGTCCATTCCCTGCCGCTCCACCGKTTCCCAAAGAGGACCACCCGATCGAACCAGACCGCCCACTCTTCGAGAGTCCTTGCGATCCAGAGCAGCCACCCCGGACAGGCCCCGRCGACCTCGTTCCAGTCGACCAGGASGGAGGACACCCCGAACCACACCAGCTTGGCCATCCCCAGAAGCCTTGCCAGGCCAACCACMGCCCCGACCGACACCGTGGCACAGCCCAGAACGGTCAGCACCGCCGCCACCAAGAGCAGCCGGAGGACCGCCAAGCAAGAGGTGCGGTCAAGGGGTGGACTGTTGCTTCTGCCAAAGCAGCCGGAGCAACAGGCGCCAAAGAGACCGAACAGGTCCTCTCTGGGACGAAGGTTTTTCAGCACGATCCATGCGCACCGAACCARGAGCTTGATCCGGTGCCGGTTCCGGGCGCCGAGGAGCGGCCGGAAGGAAGAAGCATCGCCGCAATCSCAATCGCTGCGGAACCGAGCCTCGCTGGGAGCCAGGGCGTCCCTTGGATCGGTTTCGGTTTCGTTTTCGTTTCCGGCAGGGCCCCCGGCCTTCGTTTCGCAGGGGGCCGACTCTCGGGAAAGGCGAAGCGGCGGTGCCACACCACCGTTCCCGCCCAAACGGTGCTCGGGTCGGCCCCGCTTTCGGCTTCCGCTGCCCGGGTGTTCTTGCGCAGGCAGTTGGTGTTGCGCACTCGCACTCGCATGCTTTTGCGCTTGCTGCCGGAAAGCAGCGGGGAAGTGAAACCGTGGATCCTCGTTCAGCAATCGGGCGAGGGACTCGCCGACCTCGTCGCGGTCGCACTCGCGGTTGGAGTTGCGGTGGTGGTGGTTGTGTCGTTCCTTTCGTTTCGTGCCCGAAGCCGGGCCCGACGGATTCCTCGGCCCCGGCGATTGGGACGATGACGGCAACGATGACGGCAACGATGACGATGCGGTGTTGCCATCGGCGTTGTCCTTCCAAGCCTTTCCAGAATGGTAGTCGCGGCTGCTGCTAGTGATGCTGCTACTGCCTTCGGTGATCGGCGCCGGCATCGTTCGCATCGATCGAGGGGCGAAAGAAGGCTACCGGCCGGTACTGTATGGTTTTTGATTTTTGAATGCAACTGCGAAAGGACACTATTCGATGGTAGAGTGTAGAGAGCAAGGTATGAAAAGGAATGCGAATGCGAATGCGAATACAGTATCGTATATCACAGCTCGCCCACTGAATAGTAAATAGTACATGCGGTCAGCGACTTTTTTTGGGTTCCTAGTCGYTCTGCCGCATTGCGAGGTGTTCCTTCGTATTGGCGTTTGGGACAGCTCTCTAATCCAGGAGACGAAATCGTTGAGATGGTTGTTACTCCTAGTATTTGTTATCGGTACGAGTACGAGTACGAGTACGAGTACTTGGTACGGTACGTAGCGGATCGAGGCATCGAGAATATTAATGTGAAACGGTCTGGAACACGAATGCAGAAACGCATGGTACTGTAACTCGTACGAGTACGAGTACGAGTACTCGTAGTCGCACAAACTACAAACACATACCGTACGGTACAGTAGTGCCGTAGTACGAGTGGCAATAATATTACGGTATGTAAAGTACGGTACTCGTACCGGTAGGGAACGGAGCTTTTGTACCGGTAGGGAACGGAGCTTTTTTCCAAATCGTGGTTGTCAATTTGGTACGAGTACCTACTGGTACCGTAGAGCTTAACAACGCATGCTTGCTAGGCTAGCGCGAGCGCGGGCCACGTTAGGTTGGAAGAACCAAATTTAAAATTAAATAGCCAGTGGGAGAACCTTTTCACGTCTGTCCTGTGCTGTCCGCCCCTGTRTTTATTCCTACTTTCCATACAATATGAGGATACGCTAATACTATACAATTGTTCATTCTTCATTCTTACTGTAAGAGCGATACATATTTCTCGTACATACCGCTACTACGATTACGTACTACGTACGAACAACTTTGCTCAAACAAAGGGAAAAAAAATGTTTGTCGCGGGTCACGAATAAAAATTGGCAGTCCGCCGCAGGGTGCAAAACTTTCAAAATAATATGCCTTGCTCATCTCCGGGAGCAGACTCGACTCCCGTAAACGAGAAGGGCGATTGTCGATTGTTCCGGGTGAGTCGTCCCAGGCCGGGAACGGATCGTTTGCGGAGGAAAACTTCGTACTATCGTACGAGTACGAGTACAGGTACCATGCCTTKGCAACATACCGTACGGTACCGTATCTCGTACCGTATCGTGTGGCGAACGAGGTTGCCTTCTGAGATCACCAAAAACCCCAAAAGCATTAGGTCGTGATTGSTACCGTAGTACTCTTAGTGCACCAGTACTCGTACTCGTACTCKTACTGCTGCCATCGTCAAAACTCAAAATAATTCTGTCCTTTTTAGTAGTAGTAATATTTTGCAATCCGGGAGTTGTTGGCAAAGACGGTCCGATACGAGAGGAACCGGTGCTGGGTATTCCTCTTCAGAATTGCTCATAGTGACTCTGTCACAGTTGTTGCGATAACAAGTGGCGCAACCACAATATAGATATAGACAGCAGCCACAGCAGCACATCAAATAACACAACGCCAACATACGCCACCGCATCTATTGTTGTGAAAGAACGGGAAGACCACCGATCGTACCATGYGCTATAGCTTCCCGTCAACCAGAACTATGGGAACGCAAGTAAAACAGCGACGACGAACCATTCTGCTCGCTGTCCCGTTTCCGGTGGTTCCTTCCACCCTCTTCTTTCTTGCTCTGGTCTGCGTTGCGGCCCGTTCGGTCTCGGCCTCGGCTGTTAACGGCGACAACAACTGCGTCGACGATCCCAGTGTTCTTTTTCGGTTCAAAAACAAGAACCGGTCCTGCGCGTGGCTCTCGAACAAACCAAGGAGCAAAAAGAGGTTTGTCTGCAAAAAGAGGTCGACGATACTCGGACAAGAGGACACGGCACGGGTCAAGCGATTCTGTCGATCGGCCTGCAGCGAATGGAACAAGAACTGCCAAACCAACAACGGCAACGCATGYACAGACGACCCCGACTTTGTCTTTCTCTGGAAAAACAAGAGGGAGCGAAAGTGCTCGTGGCTGTCCCGGGTGGAAGACTCCAGCGAGCACAAGGCGGTGGCCTGCGGGAAGCACGCCGAGTCCTGCCAATCGGCCTGCAACTTTGAGAACTGTCGGAACCGAACCCACGCACCGAGCCCAACTCGTTCGCCGTCGGCGTCGCCCAGCTCCGGGCCGAGCGCTGCTTTTGGCACGACGCATCCCAGTGCGCCTCCCACCGGCAGCGAAAGCGGCAGCGCTTTTCCCACCGATAGCAACAACGGTGGCGGCCCCCCCGTGTCTTTGGTTTCGCCGTCGCCGTCGCCGTCGCCGTCGCGGGCTCCAGCGAGCGAGCTTCCCACGGGGGGGCCGCCGGAGGCCTTGTTTTCCGGCAAGAAAGGGGCCTGCTGGACCCTCCGCGAGGCCGGCAAGAACGGATCCTACCAAGAAAACATYCCCAAGGCCAGGGCGCTCGATCCGCACTGGATGTACTCGTGGGGACAGGCGCCCCCGGAGGGCGTTCCCACGGTCCCCGGCGAGAAGGGCGGGATCCGAATTCCAAACCCCTCCGGGACGCCCCCGCTGATGGACTTTGTGCCCATGCTGTGGGGGTACTACCCCGACATCTTTGAGGAGTTTACGGACCAGATCCTCGACCAGAATCCCAGGATCGTCCTGGGATTCAACGAACCGGATGCAAGGGAGCAGTCYGACCTCTCCGTSGATGCCGCGATCGAGGGATGGTCCAGACTCGTGGCAAAGACCACCGGCGAAAGCCGCAACGAGGACGTCCTGCTGGTCAGTCCGTCCGCCGTAAATCCGMTGGGGAGCTGGTTCGAGGAGTTTATGGACCGCACCGAGCAGGAGGGCATCCGCGTCGATGCCATCGGGGTCCACTGGTACGGTGGGGCGAGCCCCGAGACCTTTGTGCAGAAACTAAACGCCGTGCGCGACAAATACCAGCGGCCGGTGTTGGTGACGGAGTTTGCCGTGGCCGACTGGGAGGCAACGTCCGTCGAAACCAATCGGTTTTCGGAGGACCGGGTCCTGGAATTCATGCGGGCCGTTCTTCCGTGGATGGAAGACCAGGACTGGATCCTGGGGTATTCCTGGTTTTCCTTCGAACGAACCAATCCCTACGGAACGAGTTCGGCTCTCTTTTACGAGGACGCGTCCGCCGACGGCACACCGGTGCTGACCCCGCTGGGCGAGTACTACGCAGCGTACCGCAAGAACGAGCAGAACGGMATCAACCCAACAACRACGACACCATCACCAGGGGACAAAGAGCTGCCGGGGGGCAGCCAGGAAAACGGTTCAAGAAATAATTTTGCCTTTGCAACGACAATGGTTTCGATGTTAACGCCGAGCAACTTGCTGGTAAGGTAAAAACAAAAGTTTCCCCTTTCCAATCGACTCGGTTTTCTTAAATCTATAAATCCAATTCTATCAATGGTCGATCTCTGTACTCGGCGAAGTCCGTTTTAGTGTCATGCCTATTGTTCCGGAGCGTTGATCCCCGCTCCGTGCGTCGTCTTTCCCCCCGTCGCTTTCCCCCGTGATGCAATCACCGCGTGCGTTGGCCTCGCAGAASCCATGTCGGCTGCCCGCTTTCGGTTCTTGCGGTGTCTTCGACCCGTAGCATTTCCTCGAGCTCGCCCGGGAAATCGTCCGCCGATGAATCCGAGCGTCCACCAAGCCAGCACTCCGGCAAGACCGGCATGTTATCCGATTCCATGTGTGCTATCGTCTCCTCCAGCGCCTCCGATAGGCAGGGCGTAAACGCCACACAGTCCCTGAGAAGCATCCAAAACAGACCGCAGACACKGGGCCAGGGTTCTTCGTTCCGGCAGTGCATCGATGCGTTGTTGCTTTCACAGTCTCCCGTGAACAGGCCAACAGCGGCCRATTCGCCCCATCGAGCCATAGAACCAGGATCGAGGGACCTCAGGACGGGGAGGGTATTGTTTGTTGCGAATTCGACCAATCGGCAAAGCCTCGCGGAATCTCGGAGTTGTCGCCGTGGAGGATGCTCCTGGTSTTGCGGTTGCGGTTGCKGTTGTTTTTYGTTCGATGCCAATCCCCGAGCATCCATTCGGAGTTGAATCAGCATCAGCGGGACCAAGAAAGTGTTGGGACACCAATGTGGCTGCCACGGAATCTTGGTTTTGAGTTTGTGCTTTGATGAATACGGGCTGCATTGTGTTTCTGTTTCGTCGAATTCGACGGCAATGGTACTAGTGTGTGCGCTCGCTTCTCTTGTGTCTCCGTAGATCCATTCCAGCAAAGAGTCTTCGTCGATCGACTCGGTCTTTGTTGTAGCTACCTCCTCGCTGTGCAGGCAATACTCTATCAGCCCGAGGCAGATGCGTTCGTACCCCAGTATTGCCGAGAGCAAAAGGACGCTCTGGAGGGCCCCGACCGAAGCGAAGTCTATCCGAAGGAGCTTGTAGAACTCGACGAGCGCCAGGTTGTAGGTGTAGCGCCCCCGATCGATTGTGTCCGTGGAGCAATAAGCAAGATCGAGGATGTGGTGGGCCAGTGCCATGCGCCGTTTCGGATTCGTGCCATCGTCTGTTGAGAAAGGAGTTATCGTTGTTGTTGCCGTCCGCAGCGCTTGTATCGTTTTGCAGCGTTTTTTGTGGAGKGGATAGTTTGCTATTTGGCACCGGCGGGAGCAGTAGTGCACTGCGCAACAGCGAGAGCATCGCATGGCAATGGGCTGATCGTCGTCCGGTGCGTAGCTGCAGCTGTTGCGATTGACACCGCCTTCTTTTCCATCGGCGGCACCTCGTTCACCGCAACCCGTGCCTTCTTTCTTTGGATTGCGCAAGCTGCACCGGCAATGGACGCAATAATCAAAAGAGTCTGCGATGGCGTCGTTGCAGTCGGCCACGATATATTGAAAAGAGACCATCGATTGGCTTTTTTTTGCTTTTCATGTAGTTGCTGCGTTGGATTTTGACCATCACCAACAGGTTTTTGCTTGTTTCATTAGATCGTCATTTATCGTACGGTATCGTTGGCTCACAATTCGACCTATCGGTGAAAGATCCAGTGGGTCCGTACATACTTTTCGTATCTAGAACACATCATACTAATATGTACGGTTCGACCCATAGGACCCAGCTTTTTCCGGGCTAGTAGTATCCATAATCCATAGTAGACTGACTAGTACTTGGGTACTGTACATACGGTACAGAACGTTTCCGGCTTGGCAAAAAGGACACAAACTACAACGATGATTCTATGCCGAGTTTAATGGCGAAAATGTAAATGTGACTACAGAAGAYCCTCTCCAAAAGAAGTCAATCCTTACAAAATGTGAATTATCACAATATATTTCGGGTCAGAATCATTCTTGAGGATGCTTTGCGGGTGGATTTTTTGTGCGGGAAACAACAAATCACGGTGCTTAGAATGAGTGATCTGCATTTTGTTTCGGTGAGTGGATCGAGTGCGTGTTGCAACCGAGTTCCTTTTTTACACCCCAAGCGTCATAGTGTATTGGGTAATGGCAAATATCGAAACGATTCCACCCATCAGAGCAAAGAATTTCTTCCATTTGTGCTCGGAGTCTTCCCATTCCTCCGGAATCACCTCGGTGGCACCCACGTATACAAAGGTTCCGGCGACCACCGCAAGCATAATAGCATCGACGATGGGTGCCGCAAATTCGTTGACGGCCATTCCGAGGSCGACACCGATCGGACCCATCGCGCTAAATACCGACAAAAAGGTGATAATGTCCTTTTTGGGCATGCCGGATTTCAAAAAGGCTACAAGGAGTGCGATCGACTCAGCGGGCTGTGARGAGCACACAAACACACATTTTGTTTGTTTGATCCACCGGCATGCGTGGTTTTTTGTCGCGTCRCGTGATAGTCAACGATATAGAAACGAATGTATAGGAAAGCAAGGTGGTTTAGCAAACAAATAATACCGTATCAACGCTGGCATCGAAAAARAGCAACAGCGAATCGGTGGGGTGAGGTGTGTTKAGTTGCAACATCACAACAGGACATACCTGGTGCAGGGCAATGGAGASGGTCAATATGGCCGAATCGCTAAAACTGTCGGAAAGCCCGAGTGCCATCATTTCCAGAATGCTGTGAACCCCGAGTGCCGCCAAGAGGATCATAGCCGACCGGCCKGTGTTTTTGGTGGTGGTTGCGTCGCTTCCACTGCTTTTCGATACGGCGTTGCCATCGTCGCTCTGTCCCCCTTGTTCCATTTCGTGCATAATTTCGTGAGCATCGAATGCCACCTTTTCGACAAAGAAAATCAACAGATAGCCGCTAAGGACCAGCATGTACGGGGTAGCCTCGTTGTAGTCGCCTACCGCAGACGCCGCATACTCGTGGACGCACTCCGGGATCATGTGCCCAAAGGCCAGCGATAAGAAGATGCCACCCGAAAAGGCRTTTGCCAGGCTGAGCGCCAGCTTGTTTTCTCCAAAGGACTTGCTCCGGAGCGGAACCAGCCAACACACCACGTTGATGGTCGTCAGAAACGCCTGGAATAGGATCTTCCATCCGTACAGGGGAATCCCGAGAGGGGTGGCCACGGCCGTTCCGGCTGCAGCGGACGCGGCGGCACCCACCGCCTCGGTCGCCGCGAGGGATCCCCCGCGGGACAGGGCGAGGCATTCCTCCATCGCTCCTTCCGGTTTCGTTTTCCGCGTRCAGGCCCTAAATTCGGCGCAACACTCCGCCACGATGGGGCCGCCGCTGCCACCGGCTCGTCCAACGATTGGGGGGAGGGATGCCTGGGCACCACTCGCCGCACAGGACGAAGACGAGGAGGAGGCGGATGTTTCCGCACAGGACTCGTGCTGGGCCCGAGCGGCGCCGCTGCCTCCGGCGCTTCCTCCAAAGGCCTCGACCGATCGGACCGCCTTGGTGAGGGTGACGCTCTCTGTAAAGAGAACAAGTGCCAGGAGCATCATCCCCTTTCCTTTCAGGGGGGTGATCGAGCGGTGGCGGAGAGATCGGCTGCTCTTCGACGAAGATGCCAACCACATTGTTTTTGATGCTGGGTTTTGTTGTAGGAAGTGTTGAAACGGGATGTGTTGATCAACAGCAAGTTGGTAGAGTAACTTTTTGCATGCGATAGTTTGATCTACAAATTGATGAACGAACCGGTCTTGTTGGCAAACAAAAGGTGAAAGACAAGAGTTCTTGTCGGTTCCGAATATCCTCGGCGATTCTTGTGCGTTTCCTGTTGAAAGGATGCAAACACCAAGAGCCTGTTTCGGCAAAACAAAAACGATGATGTGTGTTGCGTCAAGATCGAGACAGGACGAAAGCAATATTAGAAGACCGACACGTCTTCACAACGCGTACAGTACAGCAGATCCTCGTTTTTAACCGTCTAGGTTCGTACTATGGTACGTACGGTACGATAATCGTGCCAAGCAACGTGACGAAATTTTTGGCGGGTATTTCTTCCAATCCTACAGCTGCTTCCTATCTTTTGCTCTGTTACAGTACGAGTACCGTACCCAGTACAGTACCGTATTGCAGCCGTCCGTCACCTAATCATCCCAATGTCATTCGAACCAATGAAAACAAATGCAGTTTTGCTACCAATAAAAATCGTGGAGTTAAAATCTACCTACGTCACTTTGGTTCTGGATCGGGTTGTGCGGCGCCGTCCGCACAACATACTCTGCGCGTACCTCTATGTACGCACTATTACATCTACGATTTGCTGGGGTAGGGTTAGTTAGATGTCAGGTACCCGTACCGGTACCAACCGGCCGGTACGAGTWCGAGTACCGTAGTCAACACGGYGAACAAACCCAGGATTCGTTTCAGGGCTCAGTGATGAGTCGGAAAGTATTGAAAWGGGGAGGGGCAGAATTTTGATCTGAGATACCAGGAGTCGGGGGGGAGGGGAAAATTCCAATCTTGCACCATCTCGAATATATCACGTTTGAGAATTGGCATGTTAAAAAACAAACAACCTACCGAAAGGGAGGGGTATGGTAGTTAGCATACATACAAAACGTACGATTAGGCTGTCAAGTTTCAATGCTTCAACCTTCAATAAAGATACCTTCGTTGTTTCGTTTCTGGTAGATAGGATTCACTACTACTGATTCGACTCGTTCGTTCAGTTCAGTAAAACTTGAACGATCTGAGCACTAGTACTCGTACTCGTACGTACTTACAGATGCAACAGTATTATTTTACGAGTACGAGTGCAGGTACGATTTACGGGAGGGGCACGCGTCCGTTGTTCGACGCACATACGCAGGAAGGTGTCAAGCAAATTCTTCTTACACGTCCGGGGGAGACGAAAAGAACAACAATCATTACTGCATTTGCTTCAATGGGAGAAAAAAGTTGCTCACTTGGAAGTTCACAAACCTCGATTCTCGCTTCTCCTACCCGTACTTTTGTCGCTAATAGTACTGTTTCTTTTATTTGGTAGGTTGTTTCGTTTGGTAGTCTGTGCGCCAAAATTTCAATTCTTTTCACTAACTTTGACTCTCTTTCGAAATTGTTGCGAACCAAACAATTCATAGGATTGTTCCGACACAGCACAACAAGACACAAACACACGAACCATGACCGTCAACCCTACCAAATCGAAACTGCTGCTGAGTGCAGCCGCGGTTGCGGTGGCGCTATCCGTTTCGCCATCGCCGTCGTCGCTGCTTCCCTGTGCGGAGGCATTCTCACCGTCGCTGTTCCGGGTTGCGCCATCCCACAATATTGCATCGTTTGCTGCATCTTCCACCGAGCTGGCCATGGCCAAGAAGAAAAAGAAAAAGAAGAAAAAAAAGAACGGCAACAGCAAGGCACTTGGGGGTGCCGCAACGGCCGTCCTCGAGCGACCCCCGGAACCAGAGGCAGCGGTAGCAGAAGAAGAACCTGCTGCTGCTGCTGCTGTTGCGGTGGAAGAACCAGAAATCATCCAAGCGATGGMAGAAGAAATCACCGTCGAAGCAGAACCATCTGTTGAAGCCGTCGAGGCAGAAGAAATCCCCGAAGCGGAAGAGGAAGAAACCGCAGAAAAAGCCCCGGAGGCAACCGCCGTCGTTGAGGAAGCACCACCGTCCACACCAGAGGAGGTTGTTACCGAAGAGGATTCGGAGGTTGTTGCCGTCCTTGCCGAAGAAACCCCGGTCGAAGAACCGGTCGAGGTCGAAGCAGAAGCGGAAGCGGAAGCTACAGCAGTCGAAATCGAGCCCACCGAAGAAACCCCGGTCGAAGAACCGGTCGAGATCGAAGCAGAAGCGGAAGCCACAGCAGTCGACATCGAGCAAGAACCCGAGCCCGAGCCTGAGCCGGAACCCGAGCCCGAGCCGGAACCCGTTGTTTTCGATCAAAAGCAGCAACCCCTTCCGGCTGAGAAGGAGGAGGAGGTGGCTGCCAAGTACGCTGCCATCGAGGACGTTGGTGAGAGAGCCTTTGCCATTCTCACCGATCTGGGAATGTTCGACAGAAAGAACTAGGCGGTGCCGTGCCGAGCTCGGTGCATGCATTTCAAAGCGACCAAGACATTAGCTTTGTGTTGGTCRACCGCGACAATAAAAAAAGCCGTTCAGGCCAACCCAATCTGCAAATCAGATTTCCTCCCGTGTGGAAACCGATTTTGTTGCCTGGTTTGTGTCGTGTCGTGTCGTGTCGTGCCGTGTCGATTCGTGTCCGTGGAATTCAACAGTACAATCATTTACGACGAGAACGCCAAACCCCAAAAATGAATTGCCAACCCACGATCGACCAAAATGCACATTTGCCGTCCGCTCCTCGGCATGTTTCGTCCGCAATGCGAAAATGGATGGATTGCACAAGTCGATGYCCGTTCTTGTCCGCTTGCTCCTCCCTTTTCGCAKTGCGAATGATACAGCCGCAGCCGTCACGGTAAATAAATAATAGTTTGATTCTTACTCGTCGTCTCCCGGAACCGATTGCAAAGTTCAATCACAAACGCCATCATTGTCACACGCAGGGATCAGAAGAGAAGAATAAAGCATTAATGCAAAAGAAAAAAATACCTGCTACCAGTACTCGTCAATACCATGTTGGGTTGGACCTGCCGAAGCAAAAGCGTCTAGGTTGTGATCCGAGCTGTSGTGTTGCATTGTTTTTTATTAGTTCTACACCGCGATTTATTTTAGCACGAGCCTGTTTCCATCGGCTTGCCTTCTTCGATCCCRTCCGGATACACCTGTCGGACGTTGATGTTGATGCGATGGAGCTTGAGGTACTCGTTCAAGAAATAATCTTCCCCGCCCTGGATCCAGGCAGGTTTGCTCCGAGCCGGAGATGGTGCACCTGTCATGCCATCGGTGCATGTCGTGCTGGCCGTTTGGATCCAGTGCTGGGAAACCGCCTGTAACCCTAGGTCCTGCCTCGAAATCYCRTTGCCACCACTCCCTGCTCCCGTGCGAGGTAGACGCMAGTGCTGGTCCTGCTCTTCTCCGKTGCCTTGTGCATTGTTGTAGTTGTGGTTGTGWTCCGCGGTCCCCGCATGCGGTTGTCGCTCGRTGGCTCCGATCCCGCGCTGCTCGTAGGCGGCCGCCGCCGCGTGCGGCAACACCCGTGCCATGGCGTGGTAGTTCAGCCGCGAGGGACCCCCCATGACCAGCACGTCTCCCTGCCGCAGCAACACGGCCCGGACGGGGTGGGGARCAGGGCTCGCGGGAGGCAGCAGTGGTTCGCCGTCTCCGGCCTTTCCGCCGGTCKTTGTGGGCAAACCGGCGGTCCTCCCTTTTTCGGGCGAGGCCTCGTTGTCCTTATCGAAGGGAGTAGTGCACTCGTCCTTGCTGGGCCCACCGATCACGAAAATTCCCGGAAGCCCGAGAGAAATAGAAATTATTGGTTTGTCCATTGCCCCTGGATCTTCGAGGTCGTCTCGGTGCCCGCCCATGGTCGATTTTGTGGTGTAGTAGTTGACAATGGAGGCCGATGGTGTAAAGCAGAAGGAGGATTTGGAAGCTCCAGCTCCTGCTGTTGCGGCTTGCAACGCCGAGGATTCAACTCCTCCCACCTCCCGGTCACTCTTGCCACGATGGATGCTGTTGTTGTTGCTGCTGTCAGTGCTGCCCGTTGGTTCGCCACCGGACGCGGGGAAGGGTTGAGCGGTGGCGAAGAGGGTCGACACACGGGCCACCAACTCCGGCACAAAGGATTTCTTTTGAGGATGGTAGGATCGCTCCGTCCAGTCGTAGTGGTACCCCATGGTCGCCCACGACAGCTTCGCAAACCGACGGTAAAATTTGTGTKTGGGATGGTTGCTGCCGCTTTTTTTGTTGCCTTCGCACTTTTTGACGTTCGCCTTTGCTTTCGTTTCGATGGGCCTTCCTCCTCCAGAATTTCCATTCCCTTCTAGGATTGGTGGTGTCTGCTTCGACGCCTCTCGGATCTTCTGCAGCAGCCGCGCTTGGTTTTTGGTCTCCCGGACTAGGGGCTTGTCCCGCAGTTCCTCTTTCCACAAGGTCCACATTCGTTCATCGATACCATTATCCCCGGTGGAGGTTTGTCTCTGGTGGTTGATACGTTCCTCCGGCTTTGGGGGGAGCAAATCGATATTGGTCCGATGGTGACAGCTAGTATTATGGTTTTCGCTGTTGCAATTGTTGCTGTTGGTCGAAGTGTTGCAATTGCTGTTGGTGCCAACCGGACGCTCACAGTATTCCGTCACTGCCTTGTGGGCCAGCTCCAGGCAGAGATYCTTGYCTAATGCCCCGGGATAAAGGTAGACTCCGGGAAATTCGTGAAAACCGTACCCGCTTATTAGTATCCTTGGTGTTGAAGAAAGATTGTTGTTGTCTCTATCCAACGCTTTCACAGAATTGCTGGCCGTGACACCGTTGTAGCCGAGAGTGGCAGTATCAGTACGTGTTGTTTGATATCCGTCGGAATCCCCGAGAGGGGTATGAGCTGTTGCCTGGACCGGAAAGACGAGGTMGTGTCCGAAGCAGCAGTAGGGGATGACTTTGTCTTCGTCTGCATCCGCATCTGCATCCGCATCTGCGTMTGCGTCTGCATCTTTGTCTTGGTCGGAACACACAGCTGGTGACGATGAATCGACTCGTTTCCGTTTTCGSCCCTTGTTGTGGGCTTGGAAGACCCGGATCCGAACAACGTCGATGACGCCCTCTGCCTCCGGCGATGGCCTCGGTGCGGTTACGTTCTGGGCACCCACTTGGGGAGGAACCGTGCCGTGTGCTTCGCTTCCATAGGGACSCGTGCTTGCACTTGTTTGTGTGCCGACACCATCGCCTAGGAAGAGATCGTCGATTCGGTTGGGGTCGTTCCCCTTTCGTTTGTGGCGGGAAAAGACTTGCTTGAAGACCGAAACCGAGCCTTTCTGAGAATTCCTGTTGCATTGGTGTGTGTTTTTGTTGTCTCCCGCCATTGCATTTGTCTGTCGTGTGCTATGCTGTAACAGACAGTAGTCGATAGTAGTGAGGATAGCGATCCCAACKGTTTCGGGTTTGTGTTTCWGTTCCGTTTGTGTTCGTGTTTGTGTGTTGATCGACGGACAGAATTRATGATTGATGATGGATGGATTTACGATTTTACGGTGCCGGTTGTGATTGTGAGGACTATCAACATTTCGCAGTGATGATGGATTCGAAGATACATACCCGTACGCTTTCGTACGTTCGTACGTACGTACTCGTACTCGTAGTAGTCGCTATGGGCAGTTGCCTAAAAACCGGTTCTTCATCATGTTGGTGGTGGTTGGTGGTGGTAGTGGTGTTAATGGTACTCGTAGTGTTGGTAGTATTGGTGTTGCTGCTCCTGCTCTTATTTGCCACCACTACGAGTACGAGTACTAGCACTAGCTACTTCTGGTTTTCGTTCTTGGTGCGCATTCTTTGATGCTCTTGATATTCTCTGTTAGTACGGCCGGGGAATTGTTTCTTCTTAGAACAACCTCTGCTACTAGTAAAAAGAGAAAAATGGTGCCTAACTACAAAATTTTGTAGTAGCACAGGCGATGGTGGAGAGTTAAGCTGCTGCTACTACTACTACTACTGCTCTCTCTGATTGTAACAAGCTATTGGCAAAGTGACAAAGAAGAACAGCATCTCTCCGAATACCAGCCGACCAGAAGAAGGATCTCGGGCACTTCATTGGTAGAAATTCTTTCTCTCTCTCTCTCTCTCTCTCTCTCACACACACACACTCTGTCCTGCATAAAGAGCAAGGCGGTTTTCCGATTATGGAACTCCAGAAGCACAACACAGAAGAAGGCACGAGCTTCTTTTTCTAGTGTACCGTGAATTCCAATGCAGTCACTACAATGGTGTTATATTCTATCGTGTTTTCCGTTGGATTTGAGCTCCCGTGGTGTTTGTTGTTTCGAAAATCCAGCTGGCCGGTCCATCGTAGCGGTGAGTGGTGTGCACAGCACCACCAAACCCCAAAGAACTTGCCTAACATGCGTATCTACACACCGTGCTCGCCGTGCCGTGCTCTATTCTTCCTTCGGTTCGGAAGGTTGCAAAATCTCTCGAAAAGTGCCCTGCCCTCCCCTTTCGGGTTGGACCAGGTCGATCTCAAAGACGACCTTGTGATCGATCACCTTTGCGTTTACGATCTGCCGCAGGGCGGTGGTTTTCTTGCGAATCCGCTTCGGCAGTTTGTTTTCGAGTGCCTGCTTTCGCTTCTGGTTCTCCTGCCCAATGGTTCGGTGCCTGGCCTTGGTGCTTCCGATTCGTTTTGGGAGGATCGCCCCCTCGTTCCCTTCCACCAGCAAGGAACGCGGGGGGAAGGACTCGTTCCCGCGTGCCCTCGGCACCGTGTGGTTGGTCGCCGTCGCCGTTGCCGTTGCCTTCGCCGTCGCCGTCGCCGACCATGGGAGAGTCCCTTCGTTGGGAACAAAGAGTTCCGCGACGTCCTCGTGCTCGTCCTCGTCCTCGTCCTCGTCCTCGTGCTCAGGGATTGTGGGTGGACGGTGTCTTTCGTCGTGTTCGGGGGCGGTTTTTTCGACCTTGAATGGTTCTTGTTCTTGTTCTTGTTCTTCCAACAGTTGCTCCTGGATGAGCAGGAACTTTTCGGCGTAGGGGTGCAACAGGGCCTCTAGCTCGACCTTTGCCTCCTTGCGCTGCCGGTGCCGCCGCGCCAGCTCCGGAAGGGGGGTCTCGTTGGCGCCCAGAACGCTTGCGAGGTTCGATCGCTCGAAGACCTCGTGGTCGCGCTCCAGCTCGGTGGCGATCGCCACCCCCGCCCACGCGTCCCGCGCGGCATAGGTGATCTGGTCGTCCGTCAGCGGGAAGGCCGTCCAGTCGCTCTTGCAGTCGGAGGCTTCCTTGGGCAGCTCGATGCCCAGGATCGCCCGGCACAGACCCTGCAGCCCCGATTTGTTGCGGATGAGGGGTTTTTTGTGGTGGCAGGGGCTCTTGCCGCTCGAGCTTGCGTGGGTGGTGATATTGGCCGCCGCGATCTTGCTCCCCGGAGCCACCGCAGGTGCCGTTTGTGTTTGTGTTTGTGTTTGTGCTTGTGTTTGGTTGCTTGGCAACACCAGGGGCGGCATTCCTCCGGTGGCATTGTTGGCAAAGTACTGTTTCTTTGGCAGAACGACGCAGCCCAGGTCAAACCTCGACCTCGCCTTCAGCGAAGGCATCGAGAAACCCGGTTTGTGCTTTTTTCTGCCCCTGCCGGTCTTCGTTTTTCTGCGGCTCTCCTTCTCGGTGCAGCTGTTGCTGCAGCTTTTGCTGGCTCGGTGGGACTTGTCCCTCCACAACTCGTGCAGCAACACCAGGTCTTCGTCGATGCTGCACCCTGCCTTGACCACGGTGGGGTCTTCCAGAACCGATGCCAGGATCTCCGCGCAGGCCCCGCTGTGCCTGGGATGCCTTTGTTTTTGTTTCTGTTTTTGTTTTTGTTTTTGCTTTTGCTTTTGGTTCTGCCCCCCCTCCAGGAGATGGACCACCAGGCAGGCGTGGATCGTCGAGAGCTGCACGACCGCCGCGTGGGCAAAGTCGGACCGATCGCTCGGGTCCGGGTGGGTGCTCCGCCGGGCCGGGAGGCGTTCGATGTCAAAGCCGAGAAAGCTCCGCACACGGCCATCTCTTTTGCTGCCAGGAAGGTTGGAGGCGAGCCACTCTCCGACGGTGGAAGGATCGTTGGTGTAGGTGACCAGGACGTCGTGATGGTTTTGTGTGTGTTCATTGGCGCCAGATGCAGATGCAGATGCAGATCCAGATGCAGATCCAGATCCAGATGCAGATCCAGATCGACCGGTCGAAGCCTGTAGTGGGGGGAGATTCCCTGTGGCCGTAAAGTACTCGTACTCGTACTCGTACGATTCGTCCTTCGCCGTCGCCGTCGCCGAAGTCTTCTGAAATACGTAGCGTGGTCTCTTTGGTTTCTGTTTCCTTGCGGTCATCGATTTTCGGTCTCGCTTGGGCYTGGGCYTGGGCCYGGGCYYKGGMTTTGSA